CACAATATGGAAAAAAATAGCATGTAAGTTTTAGCTAAACAAACAAGCTTTAATGTAGCTTTAGTGCTCGTAAAAATATTCACACAAATCTTTATTTTATTATGTTGTAGGTCAACACAAAGGGGCGTGGCATTGTAAATTAAAAAAAGAATCTGAAAAGTTTCAGCTTTTGTGTTTAGCTCCCCTGAGTCGATACTTTGTAGAAGTATTCGTTGCTGCTGTGGTTTTACGGTATGTTTCTATCAGCCTCTAGACGCTGACCTTTGACCTTTCTGCACATTGTTCTGAACAGAAAAGCTCACACTGAGTCTCTGCACATGAGATGGATTGATATGTGTTTGTTCACCATTCAGATGTACATTTACTATTTTTGGTCATGTTATATCTACATTTTCAATGTTTTGGCGGCAGTTTGGGCTAAATATGTTAATGTTTGGTGTGATTTGGTGGATGTAGTGGCCGAATGCAACCAGCAGGGGGAGTCTAGCGCTAGAGCACCGGAACTTCCTCCTCAGATAATAACATGCTCGAGCGGAAGGAACGTGTCTGACTCTTTTATTGAAATATTCTCCTTCTTCAGGGCTTTTACACACAGAGCATTTGTCACATGTATCAGTTAAACTCAAATAAGGACGATGAGAGCTCTTTCAAATCATTATGCCATAAAACTCATAGACATAATATAAGATATATGTAAATATTGTGTATGATAAACCTGGTCCGGAATCAGTCACGTGGTACGGCCCGCTCGCGCGGCTTCAAACGTCACATCCTGCTCCAGGAACAAAAGCCTCGATACGCGCATCCTAAAAATCCTCCTGGTTTACTGGACACTCGCCCCGAAGCCTCGGCACAGAAAGCACATCGCTAGTTTTATATAAATTTGAGTATTTGCTGTAAAATGTCTTCGGTTCCGCCTCAGAGAGAGTTTATCAACGAGCTGTTAACTCCTGCTGAAATATCATTCACAGAGTTTGAAGAAATCAGCGTCAAGTTGGAGGAAAAGATGGAGGATCAGCGCAGACTGCTGGATTTTACCCCAATACCGAAGATCATCTTACACCGGATAGGTAAGAAACACCTTCACGTTTTACTGATGATATGAGGCACGAAAGCGGAGAAAAGCTGGAGGAAAAACACGAGACAGATTAAAGGAAATGATGTGTGAGACCGAATTAGGATGAACAATGTTTATGAAATGTAAATCCTCTCTGGACATTCCAGTTTCCTCCTCTGATCTTTTGTTAAAATCATGATTCTACTGTTTGACCAGCATTTCTTTAAAATGCTCAACATAAATCCTGTTGGCTGTTACATCAGTGCAGACATTTTTATTTCTGCTGTTGCTTCTAGTGTGAGAGGGACCATTTATGACCCAACCAACTTTAGTCTTTACAGCATAAGGCCCACCATTCACACTGTTTATCACCTCCCAGGGCTCTAAAACATTTCAAACATCAGCTCCTATCAGTACTTCCACATCTGCATTGATGTTATGAAGCTTAACAGGTTTAGGATGAGGCCACTGATGAATGTCTTTCTGCTGGGGAATATTCAGTGTAGAAACTGGCCTGGTACTTTGAGTCAAAACATCTGGCAGCTCTATGAAGTCATTTGTTTCAAAAACTTGTACATTAACGATCTTATTTTGACTCATTGTTCTTAGTAGAATATTTGTCCTTTTGCCCTTTAAGTTCAGACTTTTTGCCAGAGTTTCAGTACAGAATGTACCTGAACTTCCTGGATCAAGAAATGCATAAGTTTGTACAACTTTGTTGCTCTTTTGACTTTTAACTTTAACTGCAACAATAGAAAAAATGGCATCGTCATCATGACCGGCCCCAATATGCCCACATGTCTGGGTGGTTGGGACCTTGTTGTCTGTTGGATTTGTTCTGAAGAGGCTCCTGGCTCCTTTAGCTCTATGTGAAGAACCCCTGGATGCTTTTGGTGACACACGTTGCAATCTAAACGACTCCTGCAGTCTTTGCTTGTGTGACCAACCTTCAGACAACCGAAACAAATCCCCCTTTGTTTAATGAAGGTCAACTTGTCCCGATGCATTTTAGCTTTAAACTGCATACAGTTTTCCAATAGATGATTTCTTTGTAAACAAAACAAGCAGCTGTGAAGCAGTGGTGGGAAGTAACTGTACGTAAGTACATTTTTCGTGTA